ATAAAAATAAATAATAATATCAATTTTTTTTTACTGTACGGATGAACAGTACTTTTTTTTACTTCTCTTGTAAAGAAATACAATTAAACTACCAACAACTCAATGATTGAAATTGACGATAATTTAACGACACAAGAATGACAATAGAAATTGGGAAGAATGAAGAAAACAAGAAAAGACTTAACAAGTAACGAAAAGATATAACCTTCAATTAATTTGGAATCTTGCTCTGATACCAATTGATGCGAACCCCGTAGCAAAGTTGACTACAAAATCCACAACGAGATTGACGAACCCAAGAAAGTCAAATTAATCCAAGAGTTTAGGATTAATCTCAAAAGAAAGTCGAACAAAAAAATTCAACAAGAACGATGCTAGAAAGACCCCTTGATCACGCAATCCAAGAATTAAATTCGGTTGTTTGAACGCCACAAGTTAACACTTGATAAGTTCGAAATTGTTCAATGAAGAACGATGAAGAGAATACAATACGCCTTACTTTAATTCAATATCAAATATGTCAAAAGTCTCTTATAATTGAATGAAAACTCCTATTTATACTAAACTTAAAAATTAGTTAAAAATTGTGCAAAAGTCGAGCATAATCCCCGAAATATGAAAAAGAATAAAAAACTAACAAAATATGGAAAATTACCAAATATAGGAAATTCGCCAAAAAATTGGCCTATGTGACCGCGACGCTTATTTCTATGCGGTCGCATAGTTCAAGCAAGTTGCCTCCTTTGAGTTTCGGTAAGCTTCCATGCGACCGCGAGCCACTTTGGCCTCTTGGAACTTCTCTCCGATTTCGGCCTTCGTTATTAAATTGATCCAAGTTGATTCGGCCTTCGACCCGAACATAAAAGTTGCTCCATTTTGAGTCCTGAACATGGTTCCATCAATCATTTCTTGAACTAGTAATCTTATCACTTGTTTCACTTGCTTTGCCCTTGATCGCGTCATCGGTCCGCCATCGACTATCAACAGGTCTCGTATCGCACTTGCCTTAGTCGAGCTCGACTCCTGGGTCATATCAGCCTAGCTATGACAATAAATTGTATGTTATCGTGATCTAACATATTTAATTAACACAACACGAGTTTTTAAAGAATTTCACCAATTTTGTCTCAAGTTTGAGAATGTATCTTTAAAGGTTGGTTGTCATGGATTTTTTTCCCCATTTTATTTGGGTGGTTACCCACATTTTTTTAATATATAAATTTTTTTTTTTTGGGCCAAAAATCGAAGTCTCAATTTTAAACTTTGGCCAAAATAATGTTTTGAATATTAATTTGTGGGAGAATATATCGGTAAAAAGTAGAAAAAATTAAAATTTACGTGCAAAATATTTTATTATGTGAATGTGGTTGAAAATGAGTATGTAAAAAAGGAGTTTTCCAATAATGGTTATCAAATATGGGCATAATATATATACACACGTTTCAAACCAAAATTGCACAGAAGGTCCCTGAACATTATACCTTCTTCAATTTCAATTTTTATGCAACTTTTTACGAAAAATTGCAACAGTGGTCCTTAACCTCTCACTTTTTTGTAGAATTTACTCTAATTTTTACTTTGTGCCGTCTACAGTCCTAAATTTTTGAAAAATATGCTTTTGAGGTTTAAAATTGATAGAAACTGTCTACTTTATCGCTAGTTGACCTGGAAAATGCAAAAAATTGAATATTTTTACCATTTTAAACATGGGCAATTTTGTCAATGCCATATTTCTCTTTTTAATGAAAAGGAAAAGAAAAGAAATAAAATACCCCATTCTCACTTGCCCTAATTGAACCAAGCTAGAAATCAAACTGACCAGTCGTCGTGTCCATCAAACCAAAACCAACCACTATCACCATCACCACCATTATCACTATCAAACCTACAGTCAAAACCAAAAACTTTACCTCAACAAACCAATCCAACCTTTCGCTTGAATCCCAACTTGGGCCTTTAACACGTAAGAAATTGTGCCGTTGTAGGAAAATCTTCATTGATATGACATCAACATCAGCCTCTCGCCTCCTTGTCCTCTACCCACACCCAATCCCCGACCTACCTTCCTACCAACACCACTGCAAACGCAAGTCCCCTCTCGACCTTGACAAGTAGGTCAAAATAGAGGCCTTTATTCGCAGTCTCCACCACATTCGTCATGGTCGACTCCGGAGCTTTGACGAGCGACAGAGACCTATTTGAACCTATATTCTCCATAGCACTCACAAGACTTTCAAAGGTGTTGACCTCGCGAATTAGAACTTCCACGTGGCCAACCGGTAGCTACTCCACATGATTCTTCTTGCGCACAATCAACACACGGTCAGACGTACACGGTCGGAACCAACAGGGGTGGTGGCGATCGCATATACTCCGATGGTTAAGTTAGTATCCGGTGATAGGAACAGTGTCCGGGTTGTGTAAGAGAGTGGGGAGGAGAATATATATTTTCTTATTATGGAGAGCTAAGTTGTAAGAGTTTCATTACCTTTGCCTCTTATTAAATCTTGGGTATTTATAGGTGAGGAGAACCGTTGGATGTGGGACACGTGTATGTATCAGACGGTGTGAGGCGTCTGTTCATAATCGTCAATCAGCCACGTCTATAGAGTGGGCGGGTAATAACTTCTCTTGAATTGAGTTGACATAAAGTTGATATGTCACATCAACTAGACCCTTGGAGACGTCAAATCAATTAAGTCTTGGGGACAGAAAGGATCTTGACAAGGATCTCTTTCTGAAAGTGGCGACAGATCCGCTAAAGGAGAACCTCGAAGTGCATTGCGCTTCGGCGTCAAGGACACTTTGATAGATTCAGTAGAATTGTTTTGTGCCTCGCAGCGCGTTAGCAACACGTGGACATTGGTAGTGGAGTCACTTCAGAACCACTTCGGATTGGTGATGGACACCTCGTATGATGCGGTGGTAGACTTTTCGAAATGGTTCAAATAGGGGCGTAACAGTGGTCCCCCAAGTTCAGGCATGAATATTTATGTCATGTGTGGACTTGTTTTCCCGATCGAGTATGCCTACCTTGGTTTGTGATAGAGAACTGGCGTGGAAGGGCGAAGTGTATAGATGGCCCGAAAGCTTGTGGATCAAATTTTTGTGTTCACCAGAGATGTGGGTAGGTGCTCAACTTCTCCCAAGGAGCTGGCCTTAGGGGACGGCACGCTAGGAAAAAGGCCAAGCCTTGTGAAGCTTAGGATCGAGATATATCTCTAACCGACGCGCTGACCTACAGAGATAACGCATGGGAGATGCTGAAGCTTGTGAAGCTGAAGGTCGGGACACGTCTTCGACTGAGGCGCTAAAGCTTCAGCGCTGCCTATCGAAGGAGCTCATTCGCTACCAATGCGCTGACCCACAGGGACGATGCATTGGGAGACGGCTAAAGCTTTGTAAGCTTAGGAGGGAACGCATCCACCGAGGCGGTGATACACAGGGGACTCTGCGTCAGGAGCGTCTAAGCTTTGTAAGTTGAGTGAGGAGCTCATCTGCCACTGGTGCGTTGACCCATAGGGGACGACGCGTTGGGAGATGGCTAAAGCTTTGTAAAGCTTAGGAGGGAACGCAACCACTGAGGCGATGAGCACAGGGGACTTCACGTCAGGTGCATCTAAGCTTTGTACAGCTGAGTGGGGAGCTCATCTGCCATTGGTGTGCTGACCTTGTTAAGCTCAGGAAGGAACGCAGCCACCGAGGCAATGACCACAGGGGATTTCGCGTCAGGTGCGTTTAAGCTTTGTAAAGCTGAGGATTTCGATTTGAAGCGAACATTTCTGACATCAAATGATTTGACAGCTGTCGTGTATTTCCAAGACGACAGTTGGGTACGATGCCCATTCCCAAAAAAGGCTGCTGCGGCTACTTATTGTAGATGGTTGATGGTGATCGAGGCAACACGTTTTATGCGAATGTGAAAGTCATAGCTAGATCTTGAGCGTAGATCAAATCTGGCGTTTCATATCAACGGCTCAGATTTATGATACGATGGACGGCCTAGATTGATTGCATTTGAATTCAACAATGGAGATCAGCTAGGACACTCTATAAAAGGCGGACTTGAGCATTTTGGGAGTTTTTCACTTTTACGAAATCAGAAAATCCATTTCCTTACAAGATTCTTGCGTTTTCCAGCATTGTACAATTGTTTTCCGACGACATTTCCAGTTTCTGACGATATCACATTGTGTGTTGATTTTTTCCGACCGTAGGTCACCCAGTTTCTTAAGTTTTTGTAAGTTTTTTCCCAAGATTTTTCACATTTCTCTATTCTGCAATGGCTTCGGATGGTAGTAGGGCTTCGAGAAGGGATTTAGAGATGGTGAGGGTGGATAAGCCTATTTTGGTGACGCCCAGCGAGGTTGTTGAGACGATATTGGGGGCAAAATATTTGGAGAAGGCCTGACAGCCCGATAGATACATCAGAACACAGGGGGCTTCAGATTACCAGTCGAAATTGAAGGAGGCCGATCTGGGTAGACTTAGGGCTGAATATAGGATACCTGATAGTGTAGAACTGATATTATCGGACCCTGATGAGAGGGCCTATTATCCTAGGCCGGGGTGTGTGGCCGTGAGTGAGGCACTTTTTAGGGCTGGACTTAGGCTCCCCCTCTATCCCTTCTTTAGGCTAGTGCTGAGGTCGTATGTGTTAGCCCCGACTCAATTGAACCCGAACTCTTGTAGCCAAATGGTGGGGTCCTGAATCTTATGGAAGGAGGCATCGCTCGAGGTGGACATGCCCTTCTCTATTTTTCAGACCCTATACATCCCTAAGGTAGTAGCTGGTGGGGACAAGACTAGGGGGTGGCATTATTTGACTTCATGGGGTTCCCATATTCCATTCGTACTAGATCTGTCTAGCTCCATTAAAGAATGGAAGAGCTCGTGGTGTTGGGCTGTTAGGAGATGGGACACAATGGAGGGGGACCCCTTGGCGCCTCTTACGGTCCCCATGAAACATTCCACACTTAGTGAGTACTGTTGCTTTGCATTTTTGTTTAGTCTTCTTCGGTTCGGATCGTAACTGTTCTTTGTTTGCTTTTTGAAGGTACCCTTCCTCGGTGTGAGATATCCACCGACGACTTTGACATAATCTGCATCATCTACCAGCTGCCCCCGAAGAAGAGGTCATACCACGAGTTGATCAGGAAGAATATTCATTTCGTAACACACGACCTGATGGCTTCCCAAGGTAGATTTACGAAGTGGCCATGTCGCGTGGGTTTTCCGGCCTTTTTATACTTGTAATAATTTTTTTGTTTCCTTGCAGATAACTTCAACAAGAAGAGGCCTCTGAGGCCTGATTTCAAGACAATTTAGAAGATGATGGCCGAGGCGAGAAGCTTGAAGACCTCTTCATCTGCCTACAAGAAGCAGATGAAGGATCTGGTTGATGCCAGTAAGAGGCTTCAACCTTTAGTGGATGAGGAGGTTGAAGAAGACCCTGAGGCGAATCTGTAAGGGTAAAAAGGCTGCGGGCTCTTCAAAGAGGCTCACCGTGGCGAGGCCAGCCCCAGCCCTGAGGCAGACAACAATTCCAACCGGGTTGGCCTTAAGGGAGAAGGTTGTTGAACCCTCCGTGGCTGTCCCTGCCACCTCTGCTGCCCCGGCTGAAGCTCCACTTTCAGCCGTTCTAATATCTCAAGTGTCGGGGCAGCCAAGGAGAAAAAGGGCCCGCCCCACAAAGGAGGTAGACTTTTTGGGCGTAAACACTGAGGAGCCCGTGAAAGAAGTGCTGGAGGCTCTACCTCCTGAGACGGCAGCGGTGGCAGTGGTCCATAACAAGTACTGGGTCGAGGAGTGGAAGGACTACACTGCCTCGTACACTGTCGAAGATCTCGTGGCGGCCAATTGTGCATGCATAGCCAGGGCCCTCGGCACAAGTGTTCAGCTGGAGGATCTAATCAAAGATCTTAGCGTTAAAAACATTGATTTGGCCAAGCTCCTCGAGGAGGCGATGCAATATGAAGATGAAGTTCGAGCCGCCCAGGAGAAGGCCTATGAGGCGGAGTCGACGAAGCAGGAGGCGGAGGGCCAGCTAATAAGGGTCAATGCTGATGTTGAGAGGCTAAAGAAAGAGCTGCATGAAACTGAGTGCCAAGTGGCTGCTGTGACGAGGCGAAGTGATCACGCCAACGAGTACCATCGCCTAACTACTTCAGCTCTGGAGGCCTCCTATAAGGAAAAGGCTGAGTTGAAGCAGTGGGCAGAGGCCCAGGCTGAAGAGATTGCTTCACTGAAGGGAGAGCTGAAGTCTGCAGGGGAGGTGGCTGTGCAGAACTTCATTGATCATTTCGAGGAGCACCCCCTGTATGATGACTTTGCCAACTACTGGGCCTCTTGGAGTGCCCAAGAACTATTGGGTCAGCTGAAGGAGATCCACCCGACTTTGGACATATCCTCTTTGCAAACAGAGTTCAATGGCCCTACTAGAGGCTAGCCTGATAGGGCTGTCGAGGAAGCTCTAGAGGCCCCAAAGGAAGTTGAATCGAAGGCCGAGGCGGAAGACGTCGGCCCAGTAGAATAGGGCTACTTTTGTAATGGCTTCGGCCTTCTTTTTGTAACTCAGTTTGAACTTAATGGAATGAAAATTTTTCTTCTAAGTATTATTGCTTCTTCCTTTTCCTTCTGTTGAACTGTCTATACTTGCGTAAATGAATGATAAGCACTTAAATAAATATTAAGCACCACTTACCAATAACCAGTTGATAAAAGAAGATCGGACTAATAGCATATTGAAGAAATGAGGTAACAATTCATTAACCGATGTGACACAAAGAACTGAAGTATCATTACTTAGAAGTTACATCATCTTCACTAAGGCAATTTTAGCACTTAGTAAGATAGGGTCGTTACAAATGAGATCGGATCATGACAAACACTTATTAGACAACATTGAGATCGGATCGGAACATACGTTCATCATTGATAATACTTCCTCAAGTGTTCGATGTTCCACTAATGAGGCAGTACTCTCCCTGTGATGTCTTCAATTTCAAAAGTAGCATGTCGGGACTCCTTGCGGATGCGATAAGGACCTTCCCAGTTCAGTCCAAACACTCCGGACCCAGTTGACTTCGATAATTGGAAGACCCTTCTAAGGACGAGGTCCCCCAGCTGAAGAGTTCGATTTCTGACCTTGGAGTTGTAATAGCGGGTCATCTTTCTTTGATACTTAGCCAGTTTCACTTAGGAGGTATCCCTCATTTTTTCAAGGAAGTGAAGTTCGCACGTTCGAGCTTCGTCATTTCTGATCTCATTGAAATATATCTGACGATGCGATGAGACTACTACCTTGACCGGGCTTATGGCTTCGGCTCCGTAGGTCATTGAGAAGAGTATCTTCCTTATTGTGGTTCGGCTAGTTGTGCGGATGGCCCAGAGGACGTGGGGAAGCTCATCGACCCAAGCCCCCTTCGAGGTGTCAAGCTTCATTTTCAAGGTATGCTTGATGCTTTTTTTACTGCCTCAACTTGCCCATTTGCTTGGGGATGATGAGGCGTTGGGAAATCCTTCTTTATCCCCAGTTCGTTGCATAAGTCTCATATCTTCTTGTTGTCGAACTGTCTCCCGATGTCAGATATTAAGGAGTGGGGAATGTTGAACCTACAAATGATGTTTTTCTAGATGAATTTTGTAGTATTCGCCTTGGTGATCTTGGCAAGAGGTTCAGCCTCGACCCACTTGGTGAAGTAGTCAGTGGCGACAATGGCAAAAGTCGCGCTTCCTCTTCCTTTTGGGAGCGAACCAATGAAGTCGATGTCCCACTTGGCGAATGGCCACGAACTGGTGACTATGGAGAGACTCTGAGAAGGCTGTCTTTGAATATTTGAGAAGTGCTGACACTTGTCACATTTCTGAACGAACTAGCAAGCATTCCTTTTCAGGGTCGGCCAGAAGTAGCCTTGTCGGAGTACTTTGTGCCAGAGTCATTCCTCCGGAGTGATTTTCGCAGATTCCCTCATGGATCTCCCTAAGTATATACATGGCTTCTTCCCCTCGTACACATCAGAGAAGTGGTGTGGCAAAATTTCTTTTGTAGAGGACATCCTCTAGTAGAACGAAGTGTGCAGCCTTTCTTCTTAACTTCTTCGCCTCGCTTCTCGAAACTGGTAGTGATTGATCATTAAGATAGGTCATGATGGATTGCATCCATAATTGGGTATTTTCTATCCATAACAACTCTTCACCTCCGGAGATGGAGGGCTTCGACAAGCATTCAATGGGGACAATCTTTAGTAGCTCTGAATCTTTGTTGCTGGCCAACTTTGACAGGGCGTCTGCATGAGTATTCTCGAGGGTGGGACTTGGATCAATTCGAACCTTTTGAAATGAGGAACTAGGTCCAGAATCAATTTTAAATATGCAGTCATGCTACTGTCTTTGGAGGCAAAGTTTCCGTTGACCTGACTCACCACAAGTTGAGAGTCGCTGCTTGTCAGGAGCCTTCTGACCTGCATTTCTTTCGCAAGTCTAAGGCCTGCTAGAAGAGCCTCATATTCGACAGCGTTGTTCGAGGCTTTGAAATTGAACCTTAATTTAGCTTGTGGTGTTCTGGGCTTTCCAAGACGATCCCTGATCCGGAGCTAGTTTCTCTTCAAGATCCATCCACGAACTGGTTCCATGTTGGGGGCTTGGCTGGTTCAATTGTCGCCTCCATTTCTGGGGCTTTGGTAAATTCAGCCACAAAATTTGCAAGGGTTTGGCCCTTGATGGCATGTCGGGGTCGGAACAATAGTTCGAACTCACTGAGTTTGATTGCCCATTTTAGCAAGCGGCCCGAAGCGTCCGTTCTCTGCAGCACCTACTTTAATGGGAAGTTGGTGAGAACTTCAATTGAATGAGTCTGGAAGTACAACCTCAGTTTCCTTGATGTCATGATAAGGACGAGTGCCAGTTTCTCCATGTCTGGATAGCGTGTTTCTGCTGGGAGTAGTGCTTTGTTGACATAGTATACCGGCAATTGGTGCTCGTTTTCTTCTCTGACTAGGATTGCGCTGATCGCCTCGTCCGAGACCGCCAAGTACATCAGTAGTGACTCCTGTGGTTCAGGTTTAGATAATAGAGGCACCTCTCTTAAGTCATTCTTCAGCGCTTGGAAGACTTCCTCACACTCACCGGTCTATTGGAACTTTTTTCCTTGCTTCAACACTTTGAAGAAGGGTAGACTCTTATCAGTGGCCCTGGAGATGAAGTAACTGAGCGTGGCTATCCGACCATTGAGGCTCTAGACCTTCTTCGTCTTCTGAAGTGGCCTCATTTCTAGTAAGGCCCTATTCTTTACCGAATTTGCTTCGATTCTCCTTTAGTTCACAATGTATCCCAGAAACTGACCCGAAGCCACGCTGAAGGTGCATTTGAGGGGGTTCAACTTCATTTTATATTTTCTAAGAATCTGAAAGGTCTGGTCGAGGTGACTTACGTGTTGGTTCGCCTGGAAGCTTTTAACTAGCATGTCCTCCACGTAGACTTTCATGGTTTTGCTAATGAGTTCGGTAAACATCATGTTGACCAGCCTCTGTTATGTAGCTCCAACATTTTTCAATCCGAAGGGCATGACTTTGTAGCAATACAGTCCTCTGTCTGTGATGAACGATGTGGCCTCCTCATCAGGTCGGAATATGGGTATCTGGTTGTACCTTGAGTACGCATCCATGAAGCTCAAGAGTTAATGTCCAGTAGTGGAATCCACAAGTTGGTCTTTTCTCGACAGTGGGAAGCTATCTTTAGGGCATGCTTTGTTCAAGTTCGTGAAGTCTACGCACACCCTCCATTTCCCGCTAGGCTTCTTCACAAGGACCAAGTTGGATATCCACTTCGGATATATGGCTTCTTTGATGAAGCCGCTGCTGTTAAGTTTGTTGACTTCGTCTTTCAATGCCTTGTACTGCTCCGGGTTGAGGGCTCGTCTTTTCTACTGATGTGAGGCACAGGAGGAGTTGATGTTAAGGCGATGGCAAATGATCCTTGAGTCTATTCCCACCATGTCTTCGTGCTTCCAAGTGAAGACATCAAAGTTCCTTTTCAGGAAGCTTATCATTTCTTCTTTCGCTTCGAGGGATAATGTCTTTCCAATTCGCAAGACTTGACTGGGGTTCTCTGGGTTGACGGAGAAAGTTTCAAGTTCTTCAATTGGGATCGCATTCGGTTCTGAGTCAGTAATTCGGGGGTCTAACTCATCAAGAGGGTGCCCTTCTTCAGGGGCCTCTTCCATATCGATGTCTTCCTCCTGTTCGGAGGTATGCCCTTGTTCAGGGGTGTCGAGCATTTTCACGTCCAAGTCGGCTTCGTTCGCAACCTCTGTTATGATCACGTTAACAGTGCGGGGCTCTGATTTTCACAGAGTTTAGGTAACATGCTCTGGAGCCCATTTGGTCACCTCGGACCGTAGCAATTCCATGCTCAGTTGGGAACTTTATACACAAGTAATGCATGGAGGTGACAGCCCAAAGATCTTTCAAGGCGAGTTTGCCCAATACTCCGTGGTAGGCTGATCTGTGGTCTACTACCAAGAATTTCATGAAATGTTGGGCCACTAGGGGAGTTGAACCCATCTCGACGGGCAGAGTAATTCGTCCTCGTGGGACGATGCTGTTTCCAGTAAATCCAAATAGTGGGTCATCATGGGGATTAACCCATGTTCAATTTGCATTTTGTCGAAGGTAGAGCCGAACAGTATATTCACCGAGCTGCCATTGTTGACGAGCATGCGCTTGAGTCCGTTTCTTGCCACTACGACTCTTACTACCAACGCGTCACAATGGGGGTGGTGAACTGCTTGTGCATCTTCTTGGGAGAAGGTAATCGAGGCCATCATGTTGGCTTCTTGGGATTGGTTGACGATGTAAGTGAGCATTAGTGGATTCTTTGCTTCCCTTGTGTAGTTCCTTTGGGCATTTCTAGTGTTGCCACTAATATGAGGTCCCCTAATGATCGTGTCGATTTTCCTGATGATTTGGCCTCTAGAAAATGGGGCCTAATCTCTCTGGACTCTCCTTTGTCCCTCGATTCTCTTCTCTGGGGTGACTAATCTCTATGCCTCCTCTCTCCCCTGTTCGAGGAGGCAGATCTGTGAGGATGTTCGTCCCTCCTGAAGGGATGTAGGTTATTCTGATCCGAGCGTCGAGAAGCGTCTCTACATTCGCTAGTGTCGTGTCCATAGAGTTGGTGGAAGGTTCAGAATTTTGCCCCTTCTAAGGGCCTGTTTGACCATTTCTTCTTCTTCTTTTGATTACTATTAGTACCCTCAAATGGTCCCGCCTCGGCAGGGGTATTCTCGTATGCCAATACTGGCATTGCATTTAGCATGGCAGAAGCTAGTGCCTGTCCGGACGTGGGAGCTATTATGTGCCCTGCTTGGGTCCATTGCTTGGTGACAAGGTGCGCTGCGGGTCCTCGACCTACCTGCCTCTGAGGCGGAGGGAGTCCCCGCGTGGCACGATTTTGGTGATCAATCATCTCTTCACTGATGATTTCAACTCTCATCATTTCTACAGTTCGTCATAGATGGTGGGATTCTTGCTGCATACATCCCTCCAAAACAAAGTGTTCATATTGAGGTCGCCTTTCAAGGCTGAAAGGGCTTCTATGTCAGTAACTTGTTTGTAGTATGTGATTTCGTCCGTAAACCTGGAAATGTAGCTTTTCAGTGTTTCTCCAGAGGCTTGTCTCATATCTTATAGGCGTTGCACTGGGGCCTCTCATTCTCTACGTGAGAGCTACTGGTTCAAGAATGTCTTTTTCAGATCTAGCCAACTCCTAATGCTCAGGAGAGGCAGTCTGCTGTACCACACTTCGGCGGCTCCGGCTAGGGTTAGGTGGAAAGCTCTGCATTTCAAAGCAGGCGAGACTCCCCTGAGGCTCATCTGTGTTATGTACTTGGTGAGGTGCTTTTTCGAGTCCCACTTTCCTCATACTTGGGGATTTTAGTGGGCGTGAAATTCGCAGGCACTGGGAAGCTTCGGATCTCTCTTGAGAAAAAGAGGTTATCATCATCATCATTAATCTTATAAGATTGACACAGCCCTTCGGAGCCCTCATCATCTTGCATGTTCTGGGGAGGTGAAGGTGCTCCTC